ATTTAAACTGTTCAGTCACTTGACAGGAGCGATTATTGAAGGATGGAGAGGCTGAAGCTATTTGTGATTAGTTACAGTGATGATAGTATGGTTCAGTTGATTCAGTTGTTAGTGCAGTCCATTTAACGGGCAGATGGAAGATTCATTGACTATGAATATCATTGTTCAAAAAATTTTATAACAGGTCAAGATTGCAAATTTGGAAAAATATATGTTAGACATAGGTGGACTGTTGAAATATAAAGACATGATTTATTTTCTAGATGTTGATAATTTGAGAAGAGAAAAACACACTTATCTCACTATACTATTCACCCATAGAATAATAAAATATACCGGGAGTTTAAGTAAACATTTTGGTAGCCATGGTTGAAGAGCGGCAAAATTTGTGACCAAGTGTCTCGCATATTAGCTAGTGAAGGCAGAACATCAACTTCCATGAGGTCAGCTACCATATTTATCTATTGCAGAGTGGAAGTGAGAGGAGATTACTATGGACTTTGTGATTGGATTGCCTAGGTCACGACATGGCCGTGATGCTATTTGGGTAATTTTTGACAGATTGATGAAGTTTGCCCATTTTTTATCCATCAGACAAACATATCCTGCTGAGAAATTAGCCAAATTATATAGGGATAAAATCGTAAGGTTATCTAGAGTGCCAAAGTTTATTGTTTTAGCCAGAGATGCAAATTTAATTCTTAAATGTGGAAATAGATTTAAGAGGCTTTGGGCACAAGATTTAAGATTGACTTTTAATAGATTTAAGAGCCGCACACACATCCAACACGAAGGAGAGGCTTTGCGTGCAAGTGCGCTCTCATACGGAAAAAAACATCACGTTTGTGAACAGTGAAGGAACCTAACCAAACAGTGGATTAATGTGTGTTAGGGTTTAAGTTTTTAAGTAGTATAAACTAAATTAATTAATTATGTTATGGTAGAAGTTTTTGGTGGGAAGAAATATTGATCTAAGCAAATTTTAATAAGGTAAGAATTTGAACGTTTTAGTTATATAAGATGTTTTGTTTGATTAATTAAGATGTTTTTGATCAGATATTAATATGATGAATTTAAATCAATTATTAACGGTGCAATGAGTGTTAATTAAAGAATAAGAAAAGGGAATTCAAGGGAGAGAATGGTATTCAAGGGTCCAGGTGAGTAATTGCTTTCTTATTAGTATTAAATTAATGATTTATTTAAAAGTTGCATTTTGAATGTCGAATGTTTAAAATGTCTCACAAATGGGAGATAAATAATTGAAATAGTGTAAGTACATTTAAATGGTTTTAAATTGATATGAAATGATCGGTACATATTTAAGTTCATTAAGATTTACCTCTTTATGGTACTAGTTATGGGACATTATTGTACCAATGCACAAAAAAGAAATTGAGGTGAAAAGGATAAAGGTGTATCCTAGTTTCAAAACTTTAAGGGTACCTAGGGTACAAACCTTTGAGGGTACCTACGAGTACAACTTTTTGAGGATGACTTCGTGTATGATGATAATCCTGATATAATTTCTTAAAAGAAAGACGAAGGTTAAAAAGATAAATATTTAAATTAAAACATGAATGATTAATTTAAAATGAAAGTTTACAGTATAATTAATTAATGAATTACATTTCTTTTGAACATTCATGCATAACATTTATATATTAATCTAATGTATAATAAGATTGTAATTACTCATTATGTGGAAAATGTACTGTTGAAATTAATTGTTTCTTTCAGGTGGAACTTTGGTTGATATATCTGATATGAGAGATTTGATTTACGGGAAAATAACTGTTGATTATAGATGGTAGGTTGTTTGCTATGACTTAGCTTTCTTTACTATTTATTTACGAGAATGTTGGATTGTTCTTGGTTGGGTTGCAAAACTGTTTTACTTTCAGGTTATGATTTTGCTTTGGTTGGATTTGCTTATTGTTTAGTGTACCTTGAGGTTTTTAGTGTCTCTTTTTATTATTAAAAATTATGATGATTTATTATATAATTTAGAAGAAAGGTTAATATCATTCTACCGCAGTTTTGAGTTGGTTAATTTTAAACTATCAAGTCGGGCTGTGACATTTGGCTTGAAGAGTTAGTTGTCAGCATGTACAAAAAAAAAAGTTTAATTTATTTTGAGACCACAAATTATGAATTACAAATGAAATATTAGAGCGAAGACTAAATAATAACCTTTAACCAGCATATTTGTAGGTTTAGCTACTATATTAACTGCAACTTTTTTTCCCAAGTAAATGTAACAAAGATTATGGGAGGAAAAAATGCTTATGCAAGGAATAGTTTTGATCAGATGCCTTCTGTTGAGACACTTCCGTTGAAGGCACAGAGCGGTTAAATGTTATGACCGTAAATAACTATCAGGAGAAGAGGATAAATCGTCACCCCTAATTTTAGAGCTTATTAAGGTACTTGGGAGCATTATCCATTAAATCAGAAACATATGATTATGTGGGTGGATAGTGGATGGGAAAACTAGATGAAGAAAGGAAACACGGGCAATCAAATGAAGAATGAGAGTTGATTTTGCAAACTGAGATCATTTTCTGTCAATTGATATGCTAAATCATATTCATTACATTCAAAGAAATTTTGTGAGGATTTGTGGAGCATGAAATTAATGTTATTATCTAATTATAGCTATTACCCAAATGATTGATCTATTAAATATGACGATTTTGTAAAACTTGTTTGCAAATTGCAGGCAACCAAAGAGCTCCAACTAGAACTAACTTCCCTGCAGAACCTGTTAATGAAACTTGTACTTTTTATATTTAATATAACCCAAGATTGATTCCAAGCAATACAATTTGGCTTCAATTTCTATTAGAAGTTTCATATTTGATTATAACTCTACTATGAAGTTGAGCTATTTTTGAGTTTGAGTAATATTATTAGGCCTAATTACTATTTTTTTTCCTCAAAATACATGGACCTTTCTTCTGAATGGGAGCTTAAGTGTTTGCTTGATTGCCACTAGTTGGAATTTAGTTCTTGCTCTTTAAATTCTCTTTCAAAGAGGTTAAGTGAGTTTCAATGTTAAGCACCATGTAGTGACCTACAAGTTGGTTTTTTTTTTTGTTTCCTTTTCATTGCTAGTCATATTATATTAATGGGATACGTCAACAAGCCTTTATCCCACTTAGTGGGGTTGGCTACATGAATTCTTTTTCTTCATTGAGTCCGATTGATATTATATTGGATGATGGGTTATAATATTGCTTGTCATAAGGATAAAGTAATGCAAAATAATGTGAGGGTGGGTAAAAAATGACACTCAGTGCAGCCCAAACAATTACAAGAACTCACTTTGCTGGAAGTGTGTCTCCACAAACAAATAGATAATCATTGTAACTCACTCCATTTCAACTAACCTTTAAAACAGATTCAAATACTTGCAAATATATATAGTAATACAAAGTTTCCCAAAGTGGTACTGCTTTTAGAGATCATTTCATCAAATTAATATTAAAATATGCTGTGTTGCTTGAATCTATGTCGGAAAGCAAAGAGGATACATACGAGTTTAACATAATAGGACTGATAAGTTCAAGATTAATGTGCTGGAAAATAAAATAATTTGAGTGCTTCGAATTCAACCTGTTATTCTAATTGGAATTAATCTGAGGTTGGGAAGTTGAATTAGTGTAGCAGTGAGTTTGTCAAAGACATACTGACTTGTAGTTTGAAAGATTATATACTGAACTATAATTAACATACCAAATTTTATTATTAGGAAGGTTGAATGGGAAGGAGAGAATAGAAAACATATCCTTTTGTAGTTGGTATGCGGCTGATTATGTGTTCTTGCTCAAGATTTTAACTTTGATACATATGATATGGGGTTTGAACTCGTGATTATAGGTGAAGATTCAATTTTGTAAGTTTATGTTGGTATATGAAATGTTAAACTATTAATTAAGCACAAATCAAGTTCTAGATTGTTTTGGTATTAACAATTCCTCCTTGGAGTAAAAAGGTGCAAGAAGTTTAGGTGGAAGTTCGTCCTGGTGTCTTGAGTTGTCATGCCAGTGATGGTGCAAAGTTTGTTTTCGTAAGAAATTTTCACCTCTTCTGCCTTTAAACTGGACAATGATTAATACTCGTCAACTAAAATCAAGCGATATGAAATGGCCATGAATGGCTGAACCAGATTTGGTTGGTTTCTTGCCACTGGCCCAGAGTTCCATTTTCACCTAGAAATTCTATTATTTACTGATCGTACCTTTTTTTGTAATCCTTTGTAATAATGATTTTCCAATAGCCTCATAAGTTAACACTGGCATTAGTAATGTGAAAAACAAACCCAAAACTATAGTACTACTTATTGCATTTCATTTTCATCCTTTGATTCATGAGTGATTCACTTGTTTATTTGTTTCTCTTACATTTCCTTTTTTCTTTATTTGAACACAATATTATTCCGCGTACTCACATTAGTCAGATTAGTAATCAACTGTTGTTTGCATCCATTTAATACAGCAATGGATTTAAATTTACGACCATTGCAATTTTGTCCTGTTGTTTATATAGTCCATTTGATACTGCATTCTACGTTACCTTGGTTAGCTTTGTTGCTAGGATGAGTCATAGTTCGGCTATAACACCTTACAACAGATGTTCATGCATATCACTGTACTTATCTCAGTATTAAACCTAGGCTTGAAAAAGTAAATAGTACTCAATGACATGAGATGCTATTTTACAGCATTATTTCATCCTTTCATTCAATCCCAACTCAAGCTTGTGTCAACTGATAATTGTTGAGAGGCATTCAGTTTTAGTGCCAGTGTATCAAAGTAAATTTTTTTTAAAAAATTGTAAACTTGGATAAGGGGCAGCAACGTCTTATCCTTCCTCTAAGAGAAATTTTTTTTTATTTATTCATCATTTTTTATGATGTATAGGCATGATAAAGCTAATTTAGTTGTGTTTGTGCTTCGCGTACTGGCTGAAAGCTGTTTAATTTTCTAATCTTGCAGTCTGCGAAAAGATTCCTGGTGCTTGTAGTGGCCATGGGCCTATTGCTCATTCTTTTGCAGCCTCCAATCCCTTTATCTTGGTCATTTAGGTCAGAGTTAATTAAAGCAGCACGCCAATCCTCTGATGACTACTCCATATATGGTTTTGTGGCTTTTAGGCCTGCGTGGCCTTCCTGGCTACTAATAGCAACGATATTACTAACATTAGCAGCAGTCACAAACGTCATTCCCATCAAATACATTGTTGAATTGAGAGCATTTTATGCTGTTGGAGTTGGGATAACGCTCGGCATCTACGTGTGCGCGGAGTACTTCTTTCAAGCTGTGATCTTGTATCCTTTACTTGTCGCCACCATCATCTGTGCTTCCGTTTTCATAGTTTTCACCCACTTTCCATCCGCATCAAGCACGAGGATCTTACCTTGGGTGTTTGCTCTCATGGTGGCTCTCTTACCTGTATCATACCTAATGGAAGGCCATCTCAGAGCGAAGAACTCTATTGACGATAATGAACCAGACAAGTTTAGCACATCGTTGGCAATCGAAGGGGCAAGGATGTCTCTTTTGGGTCTTTATGCCATGTTATTTATGCTGATATCATTGGAAATTAAGTTTGAAATGGCAACCCTAATGAGAGAGAAGGCTGTTGAAAGAGGAGTTGCTCACAACACCGCTTTTCAGCCCAAATTGAGGCTCTTGCAACAACGCAGGGCATCTGCTTCGCCTGCTTTCACGATCAAGAGGCTGGCAGCTGAGGCTTCATGGATGCCTGCTGTTGGTAATGTTTCAACTCTTCTCTGCTTCATCATCTGCCTCGTTATCAACATGAGCCTCACTGGTGGTTCGAACCGTGCAATATTCCTCTTGGCTCCTATTCTGCTACTTCTCAACCAGGATTCAGATATTCTAGCCGGTTTTGGAGACAGGCAGCGATATTTCCCGGTGACATTGGCGATTTCGGTGTTCTTGCTTTTGAATGCTGTTTTCAGGATTTGGGAGGAAGTTTGGCATGGAAATACTGGATGGGGACTTGAGATTGGAGGACCTGGATGGTTCTTCGCGGTTAAAAATGCTGCTCTTCTTGTTCTTACTTTACCCAACCACATTCTCTTCAACCGCTTCATGTGGGACTATATTAAACAGACCGACTCGACGTTGCTTCTGACGATGCCGCTTAATTTACCACCAATGATTATAACTGACATACTTACGGTGAGGATTTTAGGATTTCTTGGTGTTATTTATTCTCTAGGCCAATATCTCTTATCAAGGAGGATAAGAATGGCGGGAATGAAGTATATTTGAAGCAGGCTTAGCCTTCATCAAGTCCAATTTTGGAGTTCTCTGGTCTGCATTGTCTGAAGAATGAAATTTTGTGAAGGTATACGTTTTAGTTAAAATTATGAAAGAGAAGAATGGTCTGGTTTTCAATCTTTGTTGTTTGTAGAAGCCATATTTTTCCTAAACAATTGAAGTTATAAGAGAAGATTTTATTTTTTATATTTTTGAAGCAGAGATGAAAAAAAAAACTGTCCGAGTTGATGAGGGGTATATGCCATATACTGTTTTTTCTTCTGTTTAGGGTCTATTTATTTTGGTTTAAGTCTTGTAAGCAGTTGAAATCAAATTTTGCTTTTGATTGGATTTAATGTTTGGAGTCAGTTTGTGGTAGCTATAGTTTTTTTTTTGTAGATGTGATTGTAATATTATTGTTGAAAAAGGTAATATTTTTGAAAGTAGTTGTGATTATTATAAATGTATAACCTTCTTATGACTATCACATTTTTAGAAGATCTTGTTATTAAAATACTGTTTCATTCCATAAAAAATTTTTAAAAACAGTAAGAAAAACAGAGTCAAATGGCAAGTGACTATTATACGAGTATTCAGTCACCCTTAATATGCATAACAATTTGAGTACCACATTCTTAAGGTTGAGTGCGCCAGAGGGGATTCGAACCCCTGACCTGAGGGGTCTTATACTGTGGATGCCAACTGTGGATGCCAACCATGGATGCCAACCAACAGGCTAGGGTACGCGGCACTGGGTCTAAAAATTTAAGTGATATGAAAGTTGTTTCAGACAAAAAACTCTATTTATTATTATTGTTGTTGTTGTTGATGATGTTGCTGTTATTGTTTTTGAAAATTTTATAGTTAATTCACTTTTTTTTCGTTGAAATTCTAAACAAATAAATATTTGAAGAATCACTTCTAAGAGTGATGTTCAAATAAAATATGCCGGCAATGATTGCAGGATATGTTGGATGATGGATAGCAGGTGGAAATTTTTTTTAGGGGTATTTACTTGCAAACAACGCAATTATATGTTTACATTTCTTGCAACCAACGCAATTATATGTTTATATATATATATATATATAAAAAAATATTGCTATTTAAAATTTCTTTTGAAGTGAAATTAGCTTTTTCGAATATTGGTTTATAATATCAGTGATACAAATATAAATATCAAATTTTAGGTGTTAGATATATAAATACATAAGAATTGTGTGATATATATGTAGGATTGTAAATGAGCTGAGCATGAGCGAGCTCAGGTTTGGTTCGTGTTTCGCTTGTTTGAAATTGATCCTGTTTGAGATAGCAGTGTGCTCATATTTGGCTCGAAATTTGACTCGTTTAAAATAATTAAAAAATAAATATAAATTGTTGGATTCGAACATGCACAATTTCCTTGTAATGATATGAGCATAATCATATCATCGCACAAGCTGCAATAATTTGAACTTAGATAGAATTGTATATAATATATTATATAAATAATAAATCTAATGTTCTTATTTTTAGCTAAAACAAGCCGAACACGATCGATTAAAAGGTTGTTCATATTCAGATAGTTTATTATTCGAGCTTAAAAAATTTGTTCGTGTCCGACTCGTTTATTCAACAAACGATCCGAACACGAGCTGTTCTTGAACAACGAGCCCTTTTGATTGCCCTATATACATACATTTTCACATTCGTTTTTTTTCAGGCAGGCAAACATTCCAATCTAGTATTTTAGGAATTTTCACTTTATTATCAACAAATATGCTTATCATAATCATGGTTTGCTATTTGGATGGCATTTTATATCACCCTTTTGGCTATAAAAAAGAAGAGGTGGGTAACAAGTCAAGTTTGGTGATCTTTTGACTCTTTTGCAAGCAACACTATTATTTTGTGGTATGCCACTTTCATACGCCAATGTTTATCAATATTAAATGAGAATATCTAAGCAGAACGAGAGAAATACTACTTGTTAATATTCGGTCAAATTTTAAGGTGGTGCACTTGTAATTTTTAATTTGAGTAGGGGGTTATTTAAAAAAAAAGTTAAGTAGCAGAATTATCTTTCATGCTCGTGTTTACTTGATCTGGCAGGCTGATTCAGAACCCAAGAGTATAATTGTAATGGCAGCTAAATGTTTATTGCGAGGTTGGTTCAATTACATCGACCTTATTGGTTGAGTCTTCTTTTGTTTTTGAAACTATCAATATGGCCGTGGTGATCTGATGTTTTTTTTCATGGAAGAAGGTTATTGGAGACGGTCTAAATGTTGTAGAGAGATCATCTACACTAGAAGGTGCCTAAGACTCAAATGAGTTAGTTAATATGATTGCTCGATATTACATGCATCGCTCGATGCCAGAGCCTGATGATATGATGTTGTTGTTGCATGTGGAAGCCTGATGAATAATGATTTAGGTGATGAGTTTTTCATTAGATTGGATTGGGTGATGATACACAATTAAGTTTTTGTAGATAAATTGACATTTAGTTGGCTTATACAATATGTGAATGAGATTTCACATGATTATAGGCAATTGAAGTAGAATCAAATTATAGAGGATGTGTTGACTATAGGAGTTTATATTGAGAGTAGGAAAAAAAGGATAAATTCATATGAAATTTACATTCTAGTCTTAATATATTGGAACAACTTACAAATAATGCAGGAAATTCAAAGAGAATTTAATACATGTTGCAGACAAAGCTACAACATAGCCAAAATCAATTATAAATATGCTTGCAAGAGATTTTGCAAGAGCTTCAAAAAGGCGAAAAAAATGCAATGAATGTCAAAGTAATTGATAAACATTAGGTTTGACCTATATTGTTGCATTAAAGTCAGAACTAATTGGAAGTCAACATACTATTTTATTTGTGAGTTGAGCTATTTTGATGGAACGAATATGAAATTCTTTTAACTTCCGTCATTGTTAACATTTTAGAAATTCGATAAAGACAAATCACCCACTAATATGTGTGATGATAAAATCATACACAACTTGTTGATCTGCATAAATAATAACATCAAACGTGGCACTTGATAACACGTAATGAATGTTAACTCTGTGCATGATATAACATGCAAGTCAAAGGTATATACATTGCCACATTAAAACAATTAAATTTTGACATTTTGTTAAGTGCATATTTGTTTCGTGACAAACTAAAATTATTGAAATAATTAATATGAAAATAATGTCCAATTAAATAGTTAAAATACATAAGTTAATGCAATTTGTAACAATGTAATAAATATGAAAACAAATAACATATTTGTTGGCTCAAAAGTTAACAAAATATCATTAGATGACAATTTGATTTCATAATTTGAGGGTTCAATTTTTTATAAAATAGAAAATTTTTAAATCTTTAATGTGTTGTTTAGTTTAAATGAATTGAAATAGGGAAAAAAATGAATAGAAAATGAGAATTATAATATTATAACATTGAAATTAGTTTTTATTTATTTATTCGATTAATCACAAATAAAACAAAAAAAATATTTTTATTTAGTTGATGAGAAAAAAGTGTTTTTTTTTATTTTGTTAGGTGAAAATATGAGCTATAATAATAATTCAATAGCTTTTTATTTTTCTTTAGGGCCAATAAAAATCATATTAATACAAAAAAATGCAGCTAATATTTCCTTAAAAATGTCTAATTTCTTATAATTTTATTGAAATCAAATATTTATATGAATTGCATCCTTAGTGGAGGATTAACAAAACTATTAACAGTGATAAGAATTAATACATAATATTAATATATCACAATTTAAACTTTGACTATAAGAAAATTTTAAATACATATCACACAATTCTTATGTAATTATATATCTAATGACTAAAGTTTGATATTCATATTTACAAGGCTTTAATTTTATTTATACATGAAAATATGTATTTTACTTTAAAAAAGTTAATACTACTGATAATTTTTATATGAATATTAAATCTTTTTGTGTTATGCCATTTTTAAAAATTTTATCAACCTATTTCATTTGAGCTTGGGACTAAGCTGTCATTACCCAACTCGATACAACCCATCATATCGAGAAATGCCGCATTGTTTCAAGGTTATAATAGTTAACAACCCAATATCAATTTGAAAGAAATTTTATTTACTTTTTTTTTTCTTTAAGACACAAAGGCAGTAAATATGTATCATCAAAATATCATAAGATAAAAATACCAAAAATTCACTTGAATTATATCACAACTAAATAACAAAATAAAAGTATGCACAATAATCATGATTTAATCTCTCAATCATTAAAAAGACACACATCGCCTTAACTATATAAAATATATATCAAATATATTAGCATATGTAATATAGTCTCTGTTTAACTTGAGTCATACCCTTCCCTAAAATAACACATGTGAATGATAACTCAACAGACAACTCAGAATCTACTACAATTTTCAATATAAAAAAAACACTTAATTGAGGTAGTTAATAATAAATGACAAATCATCACATGTATTTATCAAATACGATGTCAACACTAGAGCTAGTAACCAAAATAAATATATGTTAAATAGTGGTATAAGCAACATGATCTAAAAATTATAGTAACATAACATGAAATAAATTTTTTTTCTATATTTGAATTATTTTATAATTTTTTTTGCCTCTTATACCTTCACTTTCACTTACACCTCCACTTGTTCATATTTCCCTTTTATATATTTTTACTTCTACTTATACCTTTACATATTCACTTTTGTTCAAATATATAGATACATATATCAATAATTAAAGTGGTGCATAAGATCTTATAACTCTACTTGATTGCACATAACATATGTACAATCACTCATACTATAAAACACATAAAAATTCTAGCAAACTAGTCCATCAAGAAGAGTGAATATTGCACACCTTTTTTATATTTTGATGGATTTTTTACCGATCAAACACCACTTCAAATCTTTTAGTTGGAAAATAATTCCAATGACTAATATTCATTTATAATATACTTATCACAACTTACTAATGGGCGATACATTTTCAACAACATTCCCACAATGTAGGATCATCAATTTATGTTTGTTGGTTTATAGCTTATTGAGAAACCCATGAACATATCCACCGATGATTAAAAACCATCAAACATGTCCAGCATCGAAAAGCTATACCTAAAATGCAATAACACTTGACCCTTTAGAATTTATACATCTATAATCACATCACAAAACTAGTATAACTAAATTCATATGATTCTATTATAAAAGAGAACCATACAAAGACTTCAAGAAATTTTAAATTAAGATAAATCACAATGTACTAAGCTATAATAAATGAAATATTCATTACAAGTGCATCAAAATAAAATTATTCATAACAATAAATTTCTTTTCATATAAATGAT